AAATATAGACTAGGACAGGGGAAGGCACATCAGGTCCGAGTGCTTCGGAGGATCAACGTGGAGTTAACAAACATGTGCGAGTATACTGGGGCTGTTAGAACTAGAAGCAGGAATGGATGAACTATGAGAGAGTTTGGTACAAATAGAAACCCAAAGTCACCACACATTCTGAGCACAAGCAGATCGCCACTAGTTCACATGCAGAATTATAGAAAGCAGAGCAAACAATACAATGATCAGGTGTAAGCATGCAAATATATATATATTCATATATATATATTTATATATACATATATTTGATCACAGTACAAGCAAGTGAGAAAACGTAGGCACCAGGCCTAGAGCAGTGCAGAAGCGCTGATGGTCATCAGCCGGAAGTGCCTTGGTGAACACATCAGCTGTGTTGGCCCGGGTGGGCACGTAAGCAACACGAAGCTGACCACGCTGCTGCAACTCTCGAGCAAGGAAGTAACGTAGAGCGATGTGCTTCGTTCTGTGCTCCAGTCTGTGGTCCTGACACAAGGCAATAGCAGCATTGTTGTCTACGTACAAAACTGGAGGAGAACGAGGCCTCTCTCCCAAGTCAGTCAGCAAGTAGGTGAGCCAGCATAACTCCTGTGCAGCCATGGCTGTGGCGTAGATCTCGGCCTCACAACTGGAGCTGAGAACAGAAGACGGGCGTGTAGACCGCCGAGAAACATAGCCGTAGCCAAGGCTGAACGTATAACCCTGTGACGACCGCTGCGTAGCCAGGTCGTCAACCCAAGAAGCGTCAGAGTGTCCAGTAAGGACAACTGAACCCCGCCCTCCAAGCACGAGACCCATGCCCGATGTACTGCACAAGTAACGCAGTACCCTCTTCGCAGCTTCCCAGTGCACCTTTCGTTGTCTGCCCGGAGCCACGTAGCTTGTCAGAAGGCCAAGAGGGTACGCAAGGTCAGGACGAGTGCAGGTCATCATGTACATTAGGCAGCCCACTAGCTCTGGATACGGGCCACTCGGCTCTACAGACTCGTCCGAAGGTGGAGCTGAGAGCGAGTGACCAGTAGCCAGAGGAGTGGACTGTGGCGAGGACCAAGTGAAGCCGAAGCGCTGAAGGACCTGCTGCACCATGTGTGACTGAGTCAGGGTGATGGTGCGCCGTGCTCTGTCCCGAGTGATCTGCAAGCCAAGGTAGCTGTGCAGCTCACCCAGGTCTGTGCACGTGTGTCTCTTTTGCAGCTCCGACTTCACAAGGGCGAGTGCCTCAGTGTCAGCAATGGCAAAGACCAAGTCGTCGATGTACACGAGGATGTAGAATGGCGGCAGCGAAGTGTCGGTGCGCAGAAACAACGACGGGTCAGCAGTGGAAGGGGCAAACCCAAGAGCTGCAAGTCTCGTCCTCAATGTGTCGTGCCACTCACGAGGCGCCTGACGGAGACCGTAGACTGGCCGACGGAGGCTCCACTGGGTACCAGGAGGAACCGACCCAGTGAAGCAAGGTGGGCGGCGCAGCCAGATCTCCTCATGCTGACTCCCCTGTAAGAACGTTGTGCTGAAGTCCAGAGAGTGAAGCTCGTAGTCACACTGAGCGGCAACGTGCAGCAGCCTACGAAGAGTGGCCATCTTTGGGGTGTGGGAGAAGGTCTGGAAGAAGTCAACTCCCTGTCGCTGACTGAAGCCTCGTGCAACGTAATGAACCTTTACACAGGCGGAGAACCTGGCGGCCGCTTCACCCTGAAAATCCACAAACCATCGATGATGCTTGCCCCAGGAGGGGGAACCTTGTCGACGTAGGTGCCTGTGGACTTCCAGGATGCCATCTCTGCGTCCATGGCTGACTGCCACTGAGTGGAGTACTCACCTGCGATCGCCTCAGCGTAAGAGCGCAGGGTCGGGGCCGGGATGTCTGGTGCATCCGGGGCCACGAGATGAGGTGCAGCGGATGCAAGACACTCAGAGTCCTCCTGCCTGTCCTCAAGGACGTCCGTGCGAAGAGCACACTCACCCCCGACGGACGGAGGACATACAGACTCAGACTCAGCAACAAGAGCAGCAGCGTAGTCGAGACGACAAGCAGCAGCAAAGTCAACAAGCTCAGCAACTAAGGCAGACGCAGCAATGGACTCAAATAAAGGGTCGGTGTCAACGGTGGCTAACAGACGCGTGACAGTAGGGTGAGCAGCACGAACCAGGTCAGACTCAGGGTCCGGAACGTCAGGCAGAGAAGACGCAGGAGGAGACGGCAGGGGAACGCGCAGAGGAACAGAGGAAGGACGAAGTGCCATAGTGTGCGTGCCAGGGACAGGAGGAGGACGCGGACGAGGAACACGACGACCAGTGCAACCAGCAAAAACAGGCGAGGCGGGACAAGACGCGGGACAAGACGCAGGCTCACGACGATCCATAAGACCTCCTGTCTGCTCAGTGTAAGGAGAGGGAGCAGGCAGTGGGGAGCCTGGCTGTAACGGGAGACCAGTAGAAGATGGGAGACGAAGAACCTGGCAAAGCACCAAGTCAGGTGGCGGCAGAGACGACTGTGACGGTGGAGCGAAGTACAAACGCAGCGGTGCAATACCACCATGACCAGCTCCTCCAGCACCAGCACCTCCGGGGTCTCCAGCATCTCCAGAAACGCCAGCTCGAGCACGTCCAGCAGCTCTAGAAACTCCAGCTTCAGTACCTCCAGCAGCTCCAGAAACTCCAGCTCCAGCGCCTACAGCTCCAAAGTCCGCAGCACTACCAGCTTCGACAGCTCCAGGACCTGAAGTCGGGGACTAGCGGCACTCATACCACCAGCACCACCAGCACCAGCAGCACCACCAGCTCCAGCAGCTGCAGTCCCTCCAGAACCAGCAGTTCCATCTCCTCCGATACCACTAGCTCCAGGGCCTCTAGCACTAGCAGCACCGCCACCGCCCCCAGCTCCAGCACGTCCAGTACGAGAGCGGGTGCACGTAGCGTACCACTCACGCAGGTGGTGCCGCGAGAGAGGCTACCGCAGTGTAGACGCAGTGCCTAGAGGCTCAGCAACCCCAGACGCACTACCCACAGACAATGCACACTCAGCACTCCTTGGCACTCCTCGGCTCCACACGCGCAGGCTCAGCACCCCCGAGCTCCGCACCCCTAGGCTCAGCACCCCCAGGCTCAGTACCCCCAGGCTCCACACCCCCAGGCTCAGCACCCCCAGGCTCTGCACCCATGGGCTCCGCTCCCCAAGCCTCCTCATCCCCTGGCTCAGCACCCCTAGGCTCGGCACCCCCAGGCTCAGCACCCCCAGGCTCCGCACCCTCAAGCTCAGCACCCCCAGGCTCTGTACCCCTAGGCCTAGCACCCCCATGCTTAGTACCCCCAGGCTCAGCACCCCCAGGCACAATCTGGACCCCGAGTAGGACCACCCCCAGCAGCACCTGAGTCACCAGTGACCTCGACAGGCTCAGGCAAGGGATGTGGGTCTACCTGAGACACACCCGAAGGAGCAGGACCCTGAGGGGGGAGGGGGTCTACCGGAGGGGGACCTGGAGCGAGGAAGAGTGGGGGCGGGGGAGAGGGGTAGTGCGGTAGGGGAAGAGATGGTAAAAGGGAACCGACTCGTCAAACGTGACGTCCTGAGAGGGGAAGACACGACGCGAGGTGGGGTGGTAAAACTGCCAGCCAGGCGCGTCAGGGACAAAGCCAAGGAAGACGCAGGGAATGGCGCGGGAGGAGAGCTTGTCCGCGGTGGTATCGCGGACAAAGGCACGAGAGCCCCAGACCCGGAACTGCGATGCATCGCCAACCTCCCCTCTCCAACGCAGTGTGGGCGAGGTCTCCGGCGAGGAGAAACGAGGCCAGAGGTTGAGCTGATGCGCGGCGTACCGGACCGCAAACGGCCACAGAAAATGGGGAGTAGCCGCATGGATCATGGAGGTACGAGCGATCTCCATGACTAAGCCAATGCGGCGCTCAGCAACCCCATTCTGCTGTGGGGAGGCCGGAAGCGTGAACGACTGGTGGAGCGTGCCCTCTCCCTGACAGAAGGCCCGCAAGAGGTCGGAGGAGAACTCACCACCTCTGTCAGAGTGCACACGCAGGACAGGAAGGTCTGTCCGGAACCGCTTGCGGAGCTGGAGACGGACAGCGCGGATCCAAGGGATCAAAACAACAGGGACATCCGCCTTGCGCTACAAGGGGAAGACCGTAGTGTAATGCTCGTATTCGTCAACAAAGTAGCAGAAAGTACCGCTCGTCGCCCTGTCCACGGACGTGGGCAGGGCCCCACACGTCCATGTGGAGAGTCTGCAGGGGAGCCTCTATCGGGGGAAACGAGGAGGAGTGAGTGGTGGCTCGCTGCCGCCCCTCGACGCAGGGAATGCAGGGCGCGGGAAGGAGGACGGAGACCTGAGAAGAGCAGAGACAAGGAGGCGGGTGTGCATGCCATGGAGGCGTGGTAGGGACGGGTGACCAAGGCGGTGGTGCCAGAGGAGAGTCTGGTGTGAGCGGTGGCGACATGAGCAAGGGGCTGCTGCCTGACTTGACGCGGACACCTGACCAATAGTCAGTGTGTACAGGCTCGAACCAGGTCGACGGGTGAACATGGCCAGGTGACGGCCAGTCCGAGAGCACGTACAGATCGCCACACGCTGCAGTTCAGGGGTGAAGGTATCAACCCCCGCAACTTGAAGGGCAGCGTTGCTCACCAAGTTCGTAGAGAACGAGGGGATGTGGAGACCTGACAGTGAGCCGGACGGAACCGCCGGACACGGGAGCACAGTGGTGGAACGTGTAAGTACCGGGCCCCCGGAGGGGTCAGCCAGGGAAACTGCAACGGGTCTAGTGAGTGGTGTGAGTGTGATACTGTCGCGAAAGAAGCAGCGACTGGCACCTGAGTCAAGTCTGAAGGTGTGCAAGGCCTCAGCAGGCGCAGTACCAGAGAGAGCAGACTCACTAGCACCTAGAGCAGCAGTCGGTATACCTGGGTCAGGCGGCTCCAGTTACGTACGATTTATGGGCGGCCGTGGTATTTGGGCATTGGGTGTCTAGCTCGCCTTCGTTTTTTTTTTTTTTTTTTTGTATTTTTTCCCTTCCAAAGGCTTTAAAACAACTGCATCCGGCAGCAATTCCATAAAGTAGCAGGATTTGACGGTGAGAAGCTGAAGTGTGACGCACATGGAGAGCGAGGGGGGAAGCTGTGTCAAGCGGTCGCACTCCCTAATGTGCAAGCACTGCAGTGCAGGCAGCCTTACGAGCGAATCGGGAAGGGCACGTAGGGCGCTTAAGCCTCGCCTGCGCAGTTCTTTGAGATTGGACAGCTGGTGGATGTTTTCTGGCAGTGCGGATAGCCATGAGCGTGACTCTATGGACAGCTCAGAGAGGTTTGGAAGGTCTCCCAGCGAGTCCGGCAGCTCAGCAATCTCTACGAACTCAGCTGCAGCTTCCTCGGCTTCGCAAGTCCCCCGAAGTCGTCGGGCAGGCGAATCATGGGACAGCTCTCGAGAGCTAGGACTTCAAGAGCAGCAAGCTAGCAGAACAACTCTGGCAAGCTGCTAAGGGTTGGGTTTTGTAGCTGACACTCTCTTAGCCGTGACAGGCTGCCGAAATCGGTTGGCAACTCGGCAAACTGCACAGACTTGACGCGGAGAAAGGTGAATTGCTCGCAGCTGATGGAAGGCGGAAGAACTGGGGCGCGTTCGTCAGGGATGTGGTCGTGGGGGCCGCGTTCATCTGGCCAAGTGAGGTCGAGGCTGACCAAGTGCTTGCATCCGGTGAAGATGTTGCCCACAGCGTCAGACATCAGGTGCCGATCGGACGCACGGCTGTTGCGCATGTGGATTGTGAGGTGCTTGAGGGAAGAGCCGCAGTTGGCGAGAGATCGTAGAAGGCAGCATCAACCATGTCCAGCGCGTACTCGCCGAGATGCACATGGCGGAGCATGGGGAGCTTCGAGGCCGACAGGCACTTGCCAAGGCGTTCAGCAGAGAAGCGGCGGTGGCGAGGCACAAGTATGGCGGGATTGACGGATTTGGCTACACGAAGCCATCGCCGGCAAACGAGGGCGTGGGAGAAGACGACGAGAAAAGACCTCAAACCGGGGTGTCTGCAGTTTAATGGCTCCAACAAAGAGTCTTCAATCTTCCTCCACAGAACCTCCTCGTTTGCAAGGAAGCACTTCATTGCAGAGTCAAATCTGCATCTGTTGACCACTTCGAGAAGAGACACCAATCTTAAGATGTTGTCAGAGAGCCGTAAGAAGGGGCCTTCGTCATCAACCCCTTGTACTAAGCGACGCTCCCATCTCCGTGCCTCGGCGCGCTCAAAGATTGCCATACTCTCTATTCAGCCATCGGTGAGTGCTACAAAGGACTAACAGATGAAGAGTTATTAGAAAGTTGGGAGGTATGTCAACCTTTTTCATCCACTAAATGCGGAAGATTAGTAGCATCCTGCCTTTGTGCCAGCGTCATTTGACTGTGTAGTTTTTTTTCCTGACGTAAACGCTTCGCGTAGCAAAGCACAATAGGAAGATGAGGGTGAAACCTCCCACGGCAGCGAGCGGCGTGGTGTGGTTGAAGGCGCGGTGACGATGAAGGCGTGGTGACATTGAAGGCGTGGTGAGGTGCCAGAATTCGAAGTGATAGGAGTTCAGGGCTGACCAAGGCAAAACGGTGCGGAACTCAGGACTGTCTTTGTTTGAAACACATCCAGTCCAAACGAGGGTATACATTCATTTTCACCGACTGGTTACAATCTGCATTCTGGTTTTTGCATTGTGTATGCAAACGAGATTGCTAAGGACGCGTATTGCTGTTGGGGAAATTGTTGGATGCGCTGGGTATAGCGTACCAGCAAAACGAAAATCTAAGGAAGGGCAAAGTTAGAGTATCTTTATAAGATTACTTCAACAAAAAATTACTGATCAGGGTATATGGTTTCTCGATCTGGGCAGGATCTTGTTTCGCGGATGCTCCATTTGTTTCGGCAATTTTTCCTAACGTCGGCCGGTTGTGACGACTTTGATTCGCACCAATATTTTCTCCCTTTTCTTGTCCTTTTCAAAGTCGCCATGTTGTTGCTCACTTGCATTTTCTGTACCTTTTCCTGATCGACAGCTCGATCTGCAAATAATGTTTGTATACATATATATACATACATATATACACATATATATACTGTTACGATATGTTCTTAGCTAGAAAAGTAGGTTGGGGGCCATGGCGGGAACATCGAGTAAGTTTAGGCAAGGAGAATCGAGATTGGCCAATCAGTAATAACGAAGGTACAAGGATATAGCAAAGGAGAAGGCAATGGTACACCACCTACAGAAAGTGAGCTACACTACAATCTACACTACAGATAGTTATAAAGAATATAAAAGCATATTCTAACACACCCCCTAACTGCCTGTAGTGAAGAACCTTGTGCACAACACCACCTGAAGGGATACACCATACTGAGAGGAGAGAAGGTGATAGGCGGCGACGAAGCTGCTGGCAGACGGGCAACTAGAGCAACTGGCACACGGGCAACTGGAGCAACTGGCACACGGGCAACTGGAGCAACTGGAACACGAGCAACTGGAATAACTGGCACACGGGCAACTGGAGCAACTGGCACACGGGCAACTGGAGTAACTGGCTCTCCGGCTTGAGCAACTGACTCATGGGCGACTGGAGCAACGGGCTCATGGGCGACTGGAGCAACAGGCTCACGGGCAACTAGAGCTGCTGGCTTCACGGCGGCGGCTGCTCGCTGGTCGACCGGTAGGTGAGCTCGGACGGCAAGCTGTGCGACATCGTCGCGCTCCGTCCATATATGTAGGCAAGGCGGTCCGCTCGATACCGCCTCTGCACGTCCCCTCAAGCTCAGCAACAGGCTTAGTGGTTTTCGAGGAGGCCGGAAGAGACCCTGACGTGTGCTCTAAGGAAACGCAGGAGATAAATGTGAAGCAATGTACACCACAATCCGAACTTGAAGGGGCGTCCGTCTAACTCAACCGCCAAGATTGCAATATTGGCCATAACAGGCAGCGGCAGTCAGCAGCAGCGGCGAAAGGGCGGCGGCAGAGGTAAGGGCGGCCGGCAGCAGCAGCGGCGGTGGCTGACAGCAGTGGTGGCAGCTGCGGCTTGGCAGGGCAGTGCTGGGCACCGTGCAGGGCAGTGCTGGGCACCGTGCAGGGCAGTGCCGGCGGCAGCAAGGCAGGGCAGGGCAGCGCCTGGCAGCGTGAAGGGCAGCGCTAGGCGGCGTGCAGGGCAGCGCTAGCGGCAGCCAGGCAGGGCAGGGCAGCTGAGCAGCGTGCAGGGCAGCGCAGGCGGCGGCCAGGCAGAGCAAAGCAGCGCTACCGGCGGCTAGGCAGGGCAAAGCAACGCTGGGCAGTGTGTAAGGCAGTGCTGGCGGTGGCCAGGCAGGGCAGGAGTGGCGGCGGTCGGCAGGAGCAGCGGCAGTGGCCGACGGCAGTGGCGGCGGCGGGAGGTAGCAGCTGCAGCTTGGCAAGGCAACGCGGCTCGGTAGGGCGGCGCAGCTCAGGCAGGGCAGGGCTGTTCGGCGCGGGCGGCAGCAGTAGCGAAGCAGCAGCTGCAGCGCGGGCAGGGCGCTCACATGTGGCGCAGGGCAGGGCGCGGGCTGTGCGGGCAGAGCGTGGGCGGCGCACAGGCAGCAGGGGTAGCGCGCGTGCAGCGCGTGGGCGGTGCAAGCAGCGTGCGGGCAGTGCGCGGGCCGCACAGGCTACGCGTAGGCTGTGCAGGCAGCTTGCAGTGGCGCACTACGGGCACGAAAAACGACGCGCCTAGGGGCGCGATTCGGGCAGTTAATGGACGTGCTCTTGGGGCGTGATTCGGGCTGGAGAAAACGACGCGCCTAGGGGCGCGATTTGGGCAGAAGAATCGACGTGCCTAGGGGTGAGATTCGGGCAGCTTATTGACGCATTGTACGGTAGGGGCACGATTCGGACAGAACAAAGGGCGCGCGTTGGAGGCGCACTTCGGGCAGCGGAAGGGTAAGAACTAATGGTGGGCTCCTTAGAAAATCAGTCCTAATGACCACCATGTTAGAATAGTATTATATGGATGATGGATTAGGTCAAGGGAGGGGGTACAAGAAGAGTGTCGAGGAGATTTCTGTACCCCCTAAGGCTAACCTTTACATAGCCAAAATACATGTGTTTTCATCTGTTTTGACAGAACCCCCCATGCGAGCGCGCTTGTAACCCTTCTCAAGGATCGTCGGGCATTCTCATACTGGTCTCCGAGTCTATCCAATGCTTGCGTGTTTTAGACTTCTTCGCCTATATCGCCAAGACTTGCTTCACTAAAGCCCTCTGCCATGTTTCGTTCTCAATATAGTCAACCCCACTATTCCTTGGTGGATTTAGGCCAATGGGGCCTAACCGTACGACCATCACCGCCAAAGATGCTGATTATTGATGCCGATCATCGCCCATATGGGGTACAACCCAAATTAGGGTTTCATACTTGTACCCATCCTGCTGCTAGTTCATTCATTCCTGCCTGTAGTTTCTGACATGGTTTCAGAGCAGTAGGTCCGTAGGACCGTTTTTTTTCGGGCCCACCTACCGTTGTGGTTACTGAGCTGCCCCACGTGTTGCCTGCGCTGCGCCGCCCGCGCGCACGCCCTGCCCTGCCCCGCGTTGCGCTGCCCCGCGCACGCCGTGCCCTGCCCCGCGTTGCGCTGCACAGCGCACGCTCTGCTCTGCCTGGCGTCGCGCGCCCCTGCTGCCCGTCGCGCCGTGCGCCCCTGCAGCCCGTCGCGTCACCCGTACGGGCTGTCCCAGCCCGTCGCGTCGCCCGTCCGCCCTGCCTGCCTGTCGCGTCGCCCGTACGGGCTGTCCCAGCCCGTCGCGTCGCCCGTACGGGCTGCCTGCCCGTCGCGTCGCCTGTACGGGCTGTCCCAGCCCGTCGCGTCGCCCGTACGGGCTGCCTGCCCGTCGCGTCGCCCGTCCGCCTTGCAGCCCGCGCGTCGCGCCTCTGCTGCCCCGCGCGTCGCGCCCTACGGCAGCCCGCGCGCCGCGCTCTGCAGCCCCGCGCGTCGCGCTCTGCTGCAGCCCGCGCGTCGCCATGCTGCCCTACACGATGCGCGCCCTGCTGCCCGCGCCGCCCAGGCCGAGCCGCCCTACCCGACCCGATCCGCCCTCCTGCTCGTGCTACTACTGCTGCTGGTGGAGGTGCTGCTAGGAGTGCTGGAGGTGCTGCAGTCTAGACTCACAGGGCCGCTCTACTGCTCTTACTGCTGTTGCTGCTGCTCGTGCTGCTGTCTTCCCTCCGTACCGCCCTCCTCCTCGCACGCCTCCTTGCTTACCCGCTATGACTTCCCTTCGTAGTAGCGGTGGGAGTGGTGGCGGCGGCGGTGGCGGCAGTGGGAGTGGTGGCGGCGACCATAGTTGCAGTCGCGGTGGAGCTGTTCAGTGCGGAGTTTCTGGCGGTGGCGAGATCCAGCTGCAGCGGCGTCCGAGCGAGACCCTTCCACCCCAGCAGCTTCATGCGTGGTACGCTCAGCGTTGTGCGTCTCGGAGAGGTGGCGGCGGCCGTAGTAGCAGTCGTGGTGGAGCTGGTCAGTGCGGAGTCTTTGGCGATGGCCAGATGCAGATGCAGCGGCGCCCGCGCGAGACCCTTACGCCCCGGCAGCTGCATGAGTGGTACGCTCAGAGTTGGGGGTGTAGGACTACTGCTCGCTGCCCGTACGTCATTCGCACAGGTGATCGAGCTGGTCAGACTTGCGGGACAGTTAGTCATACAGAGTCCCGCTGCTTCTCCCGTCTGAGCGACGCTTGGCGAGCACGGTTTGGCGACGAGACTGAGCTACCCCTCTGGCTAG